GGATTTAGAAATATTCCATTTAAAATTAAAAATGAAGCCAGGCTCGGTGGCTTAGCCTGTAATCCCGCGCCTTTGGGAGGCTGAGGTGAGTGGCTTGCCTGAGCCCACGGGTTAAAGACCCGCCTGGGCAGCGAGACCTCATCTCTATAATAAATCAAAAAATCAGCCGGGCGTGGTAGCGCATGCCTGTAATTCCAGCTACTTGGAAGGCTGAGGCGGAAGGATCGCCAGAGCCCAGCAGGTCGAGGCTGCGGTGGCCGGGAGCGGCCACTGCACTCCAGTCTGGGCGACCGAGTGAGTGAGACTCCAACTCAAAAAAAAAATTAAATAAGGTGCTCACTCATTGCTACTATTTGTATTGGTGGTTCTATTCCACATAGCAAGACAAATTTAAAGTCATACAACTTTGAAATTGAAAAGATGGAAATGTAGTTGTCATTTATATACAAAATTCAAATAATCTATAGATAAAATACTAGAAGTAAAAAGTGAGAATTAAGGCCAGGCAAGGTGACTCACACCTGTAATCCAGCACTTTGGGAGGCCAATGGCAGGAAGATGGCCAAGGCAGGAAGAGGTCGTATGGACTTTGAGACCTTGAGGTCATATGGAGTTTGAGACAACATAGGCTCTGTCTTTACAAAAAATAGTTAACCAGGTATGGTGGCGTGTGCCTATAGTCTCAGCTACTCTGGTGGCTGAGGCAAGCATCACTTGAACCCAGGAGGTCGAGGCTAAGCCATGATCACACCACTACATTCCAGCCTTTGAGACCCTTTGTTTAAAAAAAAAAAAAAAAGCGTTAATAATTCGCTAGACCATAAAAGATAAAAGTCTGAACAAGTTTCATAGGCTCAAATTACACAGAATGTGACCAGGCATGGTAGCTCACGCCTGTAATTCCAGCAATTTGGGAGACAGGTGAGGAAAAAAATGGACAGAATATTGTTATAGTGGAATTAAGCTACATTTCAGCAACATGATAACTAGAAAATTCCCAAATGTTTGATATTTAAGCAACACAGGTCTGAGTGAAAAAAAATCATGTTAGAAAATATTTTGAACTGAGTGATGAAAATATTACATATCAAAACATGGAGATTTCCTGTGCTTAAATATATGTCTTAGAAAAGAAAGCCTGAAAACAGCACCAGTGATCTAAGTACTCATCTCAAGAAGTTAGAGAAAGAACAGCAAAGATTAAACCCAAAGGAAATAGAGTGTATGTTAGTATTTAAAACAAGTACAACAGAAAATTAACAAAACTAAAAGTTAATTCTTTGAAAAGCTATTCAGGTTGATAAGCCCCTCACAAGATTGAGCTTAAGTAAAAAAGAGCACTAAAAAGTCTGTGGACATTAAAAAGATAATAAGATTTTATAAATAGCTTCTGCCAATTTGTTAGAAATTTTTGATTAAAAATGGGCAAATTGCTAGAATAAAGTTGATACAAGAAATAGTAAATTAGAATACTACTATATTTATTAAGGAAATTGAATCCATTGTTAATCCAACAAAGTAAACTCCAGGCCCACGTGTTTTTATTGGTGAATTCTTCCAAACAAGGTAAAAGGGAAAACTTTTCAGGTTGTGTATGAGTAAACCTAATACCCAAATCTGATAAACGTTTTTGATACTAAATCCTGATGAGAAATACAAAAAAGAAAAGTATATAAAAAATAATTCATTATTATTCAGTCTATTCAGATACAGGCTAGGGTTTAACACTTATAAATAATAATATTCACCATATTTATAGAAATAACAGGTAAATTTAGTCAGGGTGACTGGATGTAAGAATTAATATACAAATGTCATTTGCACAACACTGAAAGGACCATCCATAAAAGAAAAAAATGATGAATGACCCTAATAAAAAATTTCTGCTCTTTGAAGATTACTCTTAAGATTATAAAAAATAGGGAGCTGGGTGTGGTGGTTCAAGCTTGTAATGTGATCACTGAGAGGACAAGGCAGGAAGACTGCTTGCGTCCAGGAGTTCAAGACAAGTCTGGGTAATGGGCAACCTCATCTCTACAAAAAATTATCCAGGTATTGTGGCACGTGTCTGTACTCTCACCTACTTGGGGTGCTGAGGCAGAAGGATTGCCTGAATCCAGGAGGTTGAGGTTGTGGTGAGCCTTGATTGTGCCATTACACTCTAGCTTAGGTGACAGAATAGGACCCCAACTTAAAAATAAATAGGAGAAAATGTTTGCAAATTACACATAAAGGACCTATGTCCAGAATATATTTTTAAAGACTCAATATTTAACAATTACAAAACAACCCCGTTTTTAAGGATTGGCAAAGGACTTTTTATAGACATGCTTTCAAAGAGAATACACTGCAGATAAACATGTGGCAAACTAGGATTTTGGACCATATGCTACCCTTCTTTGGGCCTTCTGGGTCAGTGGGGTTTTTAAGTAATTTTTAAGTTTAGAATAATTTTTTTGGAAAAGTGATATCAGCTCTTTTCCTTGCTGCTGCTCTTCCTCTTAGAAGATCCTGTTCTTTGTAGCCAAGTGTCCTGAGATCCCCCTAACCACATGAATGCCTTTTTTCCCTGGCAAGTAGACAAGGTGGGCAAGTGGATGGTGTCAAAAGAGAGGCTTTTGCTGTCTCAACTGGGGAATCATGAACTATGGGCTGTTCTGATCCATAGCAAAGTCACCACAGATGAACGTTCCTTCCCAATGCTGCATTTTTATAGACTGCTTTAAGAGGAGAATTAAATGAAATGAAAACATGCATCTGTAGTGAACCATTTGAAAAGCCCTTTTATTTTCAGTTCTGAATTACCAGCTGCCATTTGTACAGCATTCGTATTACTGGTAAGACTAGCATCTCCTAACACAGTAACTTGAAGGGAGCTGAAGACTTACATTAGGGTATTACATCAGGAATTATTTATGGGAAAGAATGCAGTGGGTGCTTATGAAAGAGTTTTCACCCAAAGCTGTCACTTAAGAAAAGACTCAAAATAGGTATTTAGAAAAGTTGTTTTTATGTAGGGAAACAAAAGTCGTGGGTCAATAATAGGGTGATAAAGTGAAAAAATAAGAGTGAGCCTGGGAAAAGATACTTCCTGAACTCTGGAGGAATTAATGGGAGGCAGTGCTGGAAAGATGCTCAAAACACAACACTTGTTACTGTGTGTCTTGTGTTACATGTCTGTTGTCTTACTAAATGTATTCAGTAAGCCGACAATGATGCAATTCTACCTACTACCTCTCCCCACCTACTCAACCCCATTTTTTCATTCCTCTAACTAAATGCGTATTTCATTTCTCTAACTGAATGCATATGGTGGGAGAACTTGCAAAAAAATATTAACATAATTTAAAAGCTTTCCCAGTTAGTGACAAGTGAAATGAATTATTCAGATAGCAAGCGAGTGGTAGTAGCTTTGTAAGACATTCTTGAGCAAGAAAGGCTGAATTGAGAGAATTGATTATTCAGTTGTCTCAGGATTATAAACATTAACACAAACACATAAAACAATATTTTGAGTGATTTTAGGAATTTTTAAGGGTAATTTTGACTTGTGTCCAATCCTTTTATAATTTGCAGTGCCACTGCACTAAAATGTGGAACCAGATCTGGTCATATCATTCTTAAACAGATTTACAGAATTCTAAGATGATTGAGGGCTTTGTTGAGAATTTCCTTTAGGGAGTTAAAGCATCCACTTACATGCTTGTTTTTCTTTTCCCATTTTGACTTCCAAAATAGCGCTTCTAGAGGTAGAAAAATTTTAAATCATTTATTTGAAGATAATGTAACCACATTCTGAGGTGGTTCTTTTAGGATTAACTAAATATGATGGTTTTTAATGTTTAGAATATGTAGGAGGGCCTAAGACATCAGTATCTTTCCTTTTTGTATAAATACAGAGGGTGCCAAAAAAATGTACACACATTTTAAGAAAGAAAAAAACTATTAAAATTCTAATAATATATACCTATTATGAGTCACACCTGATAGATGTTTGCACTGGCCACATCTGTCCTGCCTGTCACATGGTGACACTAGCATTTGTTTAACGCCATCTTTTAAGCAAATGTGCATACTTTTTTTGGCACCCTCGGTATTTCCTTTGATCACAGCAATTGGTTGTAAACTGTGGACTTTGCTATTGTTTCTGGTAAAAGCAAGGACAGAAAGAACATTGTGAGGTATATTATCATTGCAGTATTTTGTCAAACCATTTTTCTTAATTATGTTCTGCAGCTATTTCATGTAGTAATGTTTGTTGTTTGGCTGTTGCATTTCAGGACAACATAAGTAGGATATATTCCCTTTTTTTAGAGCATACTATAAACACATCAAAGTGACAAACTTTTATGCTATTTTTGTTTTTGTGGTTTTTTTAACGTAGGATTCAAAGACTTGTTCTGGGCACAGTATGTTTTTCTTATTGAAACGCTATACATTGTGGTAGAGCTGTAGCAGTAGAAATTGTAAAGAAGAAGGGTATCCTAGAGAGAGACATTATAATTCAATAGGGAAAGCCTCTGGTCCTCACACATCTTCCCGTATCCTCATTCTTGGTCCAAAGACAAATGTAAAACAATATTAATCTATTTTAAATTCTCAATAACTCACAAGCTCTAAAGAAGACTATATTAGAATTTTGAAACTCTTACAATTATTTTGTAAAAAGAATTTTCTATTTTTCTTTTTTTTTTAGATTGGAAAATATAGTTTATTCAAGAAGTAAATTAGAGAGAGAGAAGATTCACCTCAGAATTTTCTGTTTTTCATTAGAAAATATCCTTTTGTTACACTTAGATATTTTATATGATTCTGAGAATCAGAACATAATCTGTTTAGTTCTTTGAATTCAGGTTTTTTGTCTTGAAGTTATTGTTCCTTTTAGAGATAAATGCCTTACTGGGTTAAATCTGCATAAATTATTTTGGCAAAATGTGAAAATGTTAAGTGGTTAGAAAAAGAGAACTGAATTTTACATGGTTTTGATGACTTTCGTTTAGGAACCAAGACCACTGGAACAACCTTTCAGTGTTGTGATACAAGAACAGCAGAGAAAATGGATTGAAGAGTTGAATAAGCAAATAGAGGATGACCAGCAAAGAAAAATAGAAGAAAAAATGATATATTCAAAGGTAATATATGAGGTTTTATGGCTATAAGAAACATGTTTCAGAGTCTTTAATCATATAAACCTAGATATATTCTAAAACTACTTGACAGGTCAGAGTATTCAAATTATTACATATTTGCCCATGTGAACCTGTTTCCCTTAAGTGTATTTAGTGTGGTTTTGTGTACGCTCTTTTTTTTTTTTTTTTTTAAAGCAGGATTTATTAAAAGGACAGAAGAGCTCCCACAGTGGCAGGGAACCTGAGGGGGTATCTCCTCTTACTCTGACTTCATGGAGAGTTCCTCATTTTTTGAATGTTTTATATTTTCTAAGTTATCTAAATGTATAGGAATCAAAACAATACAATTTTGTTAATTTTTATGATGTTTATTCTCTAGGGTGACTTTTAGAAATCATGCTCGATTGTCATTTATGATTTTATGTGTTAGTAACTGGAGAAATTCTTAGCGATTCTTATCTGACATGATTAGGGTGAGGAACATGACAGATGGGCCATGCATTTTGATTCATTAAAGAGTTATCCTGGTTCTCAGTCTCAACTGTCCTCTCAATCAACATGCAAGCAACTGGAGTACTTCTGTGTCTCTCCGGACACTCAGGAGCTGGTTGATATCAGCAGTGTTTGTACACCTACGGTTAGAAGCCAGGTTGAACCTTCAGAGGACGAGCATATAGCAAAACCTATTAGGGATGTGGTTATAGCAAACAGTCAACCAAAAAAGTAAGTTCCTTCTTATGTGTTTATTGATTTTTAAGAAAGTCTGTGTGCTTTAGTAGGACTGTTGTTATGTCTAATTGGCTTCAGGATTGGTATTTTCCTTTGAAATAGAAATGATTAGTAGATTTATCCTGAGCAAAAATGATTTAGCTTATTGAACCTACCCTTTTGGGTTTTGAATAACTAATTTGTATATTTTGCCAGCTTTCTGCGTTCTATGACAGCACTCTTGGACCCAGCTCAGATTGAGGAACGAGACAGACGACGACAAAAACAGTTAGAACATCAGGTATTTCATTGTAAAACATCGTCCTTTGCTTTAATAAGTAACAGTCATGGGCCAACATTCACCTAAGTAAGTAAAAATTTAAATTCTGGTGTAAACTTAAAGCTAAGTCCTGTTCAGTCCTGTGGTGAATCCAATCCCTACCCCAACTGGCATTGTAACATTAGAATTATGTTTTCCATGAGAACCAGACAGTCTCACATACTACACAGCCACCTGCCTGCCTTCCAGTAGAGAAAGTCTTCAGTATGTAAGTTGTATGTGTGAATTAGTACTGTCTAAGGTTAGTATTGGATATTTTTCTCATCAGTTTATTTCCCCTGAGTTCTGTTCAGGATGAGAACTTGTTCTTTGAAAGGAAACTATATAGAGAATTGAAGTAGAATTATGATTTAAGACTCTAGCAGATAATATAAGAAAGGAGGCTAAGATTAAAGCTCTCCCAATTTTAATCTAATACTCAAGGTACTTAAGTGTCTGAATAGTTTGTTAAAACCTTTTTTTTTTTAAGTCGGAGTCTCACTCAGTCACCCAGTGTTGACCTGCTGGACTATGGTGATCCCTTCCACCTCAGCCTTCCAAGTAGCCAGAATTACAGGCATGTGCTTACCGTGCCCGGCTAATTTTTGATTTATTGTAGCGACAGGGTCTTGCCAAGTTGCCCAGGCTGGTCTCAAACCCACAGGCGTAGGCAGTCCACTCACCTAGGCCTCCCAAAGTGCTGGGATTACAGGCTGAGCCACCTATCCCAGCCTAAAACCTTTAATATAGTGAACCTTACATAGTTAATGTTATTCATTCCAGTGAGCAAACATTTATAAAGCTTCTGCTACTTACCAGGCACTATGCTAAGTACTGAGATTATTTCTTCAGTGATTTGTCTATTATTTTCTTGTTACAGCCCTCCTGGGGTTGAAGAAAAAGCATGTAGAACTTGACAGGACAAGTTAAATCAGATAAATGCACTGGAAATTTGAGATTTTCACTTCACTTATATACATAATACTTTCTGTATACTGATAAAATTTATTTTATTCCACAGTCATCAAGCAAATGCCTCATAGGTTTGTAAAGTTGATACATAATATTTTACATATCTATTGGGTACATATGATATTTTGTCGTATTCATAAAATGTGTAGTGATCCAAGTCAGGATATTTGGGGTATCCATTACATCAGTTTATCATTTCTGTTTTGGGAACATTTCAAGTTCTCTCCTCTAGCCAATTTGAAATATATAATGCATTGTTGCTACTGTAGTCACTATCAAACATTAGTACTTATTCCTTCTATTTAACTATATGTTTATTCTGATTAACCTCCCTCCCTTCTTCTGTGCCCCCCCCACCAGCATCTCTGCCAAATGCACACACCCTTCTCAGCCTCTGATATCTATTAATACAATTCTATTCCTTACCTCCACAAGATCCACTTTTTTAGCTGTGACAACATGCAGTAATTATCTTTCTGTGCCTTGCTTATTTCATGTCACATAATGACCTCCAATTCCATCCATGCTGCTGCAAATGACAAAATTTTTTTTTTTTGAGTTGGAGTCTCACTCTGTCACCCAGGCTGGAATGCAGTGTTATACTCGTGGTCACCTCAGCATCAATCTGCTGGGCTCTGGCCATCCCTCCACCTCAGCCTTCCAAGTAGCTGGAATTACAGACATGCACTACCGCACCTGGCTAATTTTTTATTTATTGTAGAGACGAGTTCTCGCCAAGTTGCCCAGGCTGATCTTGAACTCGTGAGCTCAGACAGTCCACTTGCTCGGCCTTCCAAAGGGCTGGGATTACAGGCTGAGCCACTGAGCCCAGCCAAAATTTCATTTTTTTTAATGGCCAAATAGAATTCCATTGTGTATATAATATCATTTTCTTTATTCATTCATTACTGGTGGACAATTGGGTTGATCTCTTATCTTTACTGTTGTGAATATTGCTACAATAAGCATGGCAGTGCAGATATCCCTTTGATATACTACTATTTTTCCTTTGAATAAATATACCAGATCACATGGTAGTTCTATTTTTAGGTTTTTGATAAATCTTCATACTGTTTTCCATAGTGGCTGTACTTATTTACATTCCCACCAGCAGTATATAAGGGTTCCCTTTTCTCTGCATCCTGGCCAGCATCTGTTATTTTTTTACTTTTTAATAGCCATACTGCCAGGCATGGTGGTGCATGCCAGTAGTCCTAGTACTCAGGAGGCTGAGGCGGGAGAATACATAGTAAGTCACCATATCTTAAAAAAAAAAAAAAAAGTAATAATAGCCTTTTTTTTTTTTTTTGAGTTGGAGCTGGAGTGCAGTGGTACCCTCATTGCCACCCCAGTGTCAACCTGCTGGACTCAGGAGATCTTCTGCCTCAGCCTTCCAAGTAGCCGTAACTACACGCGTGTGCTATCATGCTCAGCTAATTTTTTGATTTATGGTAGAGATGAGGTCTTGCCAGGTTGCCCAGGCTGTTCTCGAACCCATGAGCTCAGGCAGTCCCCCCACCTTGGTCTCTCAAAGTGCTGGAATTACAGGCTTGAGCTACTGTGCCCAGCCAGGCATTTTAACTGGGGTAAGATGGTATCTTGTTGTGGGTTTGATTTGCTTTTCTTTGATAACTAGTAATGTTGAGCATTTTTTTCATATGCCTGCTGGCCTTGTATATGTCTTCTTCTGAAAAATGTTGTTCATGTCATGTCCTTTGCTTACTTTTTAATGGGATTATTTGGGGTTTTTTTACAGTTGAGTTATTTGAGTTCCTGTATATTCTGAATATTAGCTCCTTCTTGGCTGAATAATTTGCAAATATTTAAAGTATTAAATATTTAAACTACCGAAGAGACAGATTATCTCTCCATTCTGTTGATTGTTTCCTTTGCTGTGCAGAAGCTTTTTAGTTTAATGTAGTCCCATTTGTTTTTTTTTGTCTGAGCTTTTGAAGTATTAGCTGTAAAATCTTTGTATAGACCAATGTCCTGAACTGTTTTCCTTATTTTTTTTTCCTGGTAATTTTATACCATGGGGTCTTACATTTAAGCCTTCGATCCGTCTTTGGTTGGTTTTGGTATATGGTGAGAGATAGGATCCAGTTTCATTCTTCTGCATATGGATATACAATTTTCCCAGCACTATTTATTGTACTAGGTATTCTTTCCCCAATGTATGTTCTTGCACCCTTGTGAAAAGTCAGTTAACTGTAAATACGTGGATTTATTTTTGTATTTTCTGTTCCATTGTTTTGTGTGTCTTTTTATATCAGTATTAATGTGTTTTGGTTACTATAGCCTTATAATATATTTGAAGTCAGGTAGTGTGATGCCTCCAGCTTTGTTCCCTTTTTGAGACAGAGTCCCATTCTGCTGCCGAGACTAGAGTACAGTGGTATAATTATGGCTTGACCTCCTGGGCTAAAGGGGTCCTCTTACCTTACTCTTCTGAGAAGCTAGGACTACAGGCATGTACCACAGCGCCCAGCTAATTTAAAAAAAAAATTTTTTTTTTGTAGGGATAAAGTTTTTGTATATTGCCCATGCTCACTTTGAACTCCTAGCCTCCCTCCTTGGCCTCCCAAAATGGTGCTGGCATTGCAGGCATAAGTCATTCTCCTGGCCCAGCTTTGTTCTTTTTGTTCAAACTTTCTTTGACTATTCAGACTTTTTTCGTTTCATACACATTTTAAAATTATTTTTTCTATTTCTGTGAAAAATGATGGTTGGTATTTTGATAGGGATTGCATTGAATCTGTAGCTTGCTTTGAGCAGTACAGTCATTTTAACTATATTCTTCCCATCCCTTACCATGGGATGTCTTCCCATTTGTTTGTGTCCTTTTCAGTTTCTTTCCTCTCTTCTGAAGTTTTCCTTGTAGAGATCTTTAACCTCCTTGGTTACATTTATTCCTTGTGTGTGTGTGTGTATACTGTAAATGGGATTACTGTCTTTATTTCTTTCTCAGCTAGTTCATTTGTTGGTATTATAGAAACACTACTGACTTTTGTATATCCATTTTGTATCCTGCAACTTTATTGAATTTATCAGATCTAAGAATTTTTTTTGGTAGAATATTTAGGTATTTCTGGATATAAATAAACTAATATCACTAGGTGCAGTGGTTCACACCTATAATCCCAGCACTTTGGGAGTCCATGAGTTCAAGACCAGCCTGGGCAACTTGGTGAGACCTCATCTCTACAATAAATCAAAAAATTAGCTGGGGGTAGTGGCATATGTCTGTATTTCCAGCTACTTGGAAAGCTGAAGCAGAAGGATCATCTGAGCCCAACAGGTCAAGTCTGTGGTGGCCATGAGCATGCCATTGCACTTCAGCCTGGGCGACAGAATGAGACTCCAACTATAAATGAGTAAATAAGATATCATCAGCAAAAGGGGACAGTTTCACATCTTCTTTTCCAATTTGAATGCCTTTTCTTTCTTTCTCCTGCCTGATTTTTCTGGCTAAGACTTCCAGTACGAAGTTGAAGAGGAGTGATAAAAGTGCACATCCTTGTCTTGGTCCAGTTATTAGGAGCAAGGCTTTCAGCTTTTCCCTATTCAGGGTGATATAAACTGCAAGTTTGTCATATATGGCCTTGATTATGTTATTTTATGCCCAGTTTAGTTTGATGAGGGTTTTCTTTATTTTATTTTAATTTTTCTTGAGTCAGAGTCTTACTCTGTCACCCTGGCTGGTGTGCAGTGGCATGATCACAGCTCATGAAGCTTTAACCTCCTAGGCTCAGGGTCTTATTGTTGCCCAGGCTTGTCTTGAACTCCTGGTCTCAAGCAGTCCTCCCATTTTGGTCTTCCAAATTGTTGGGATTATAGGTGCATAAGCCAGTATACCCGACTTGAGAATTTTTATTATGAAGTGATGTTGAATTTTATCAAATGCTTTTTCTGCATATATTAAGATAATGATGTGTTTTTAATCCTTTATTCTATTGATATGATATATTGCATTATTTATTTGCATAGGTTGAACCATCCTTGCATCCCTAGGATAAATCCCCCTTGATCATGGTATATTATTTTTTTGATAATGATGTTGAATTTGGTTTACTAGTATTTTGTTGAGAGTTTTTGTGTCTGTGTTTGTTAGGGATTATTGACCTGTAGTTGTTTTCTTTTTGTGTGTGTGCTTGTCTGGCTTTGATATAATGCTGGCCTAATAAAATGCATTAGGAAGAATTCCCTCCTCTTCAGTTTTTTAGAATAGTTTGAGAAGACTTAGGTTAGATCTTCTTTGGAAGTTTGTTAGAATGTAACAGTGAAGCTATCCAGTCGTGAACTTTTCTTTGCTAGGAGGATTTTTATTATCAGTTCAATCTGGTCACTTGTTATTGTTCTATTTGGGTTTTCTTTCTCATTCATTCTGGGTAGGTTGTATTTGTCCAGAAATGTATCCATTTCTTCTAGATTTTCTAGTTTCTTAGTGTATAGTTCATATAAGTCTGTGATCTTTTGTATTTCTGTGGTATAAATTTTAATGTCTCTTTTTTCATTTTTGATTTTATTTGGGTCTTTTTTTCCTTGGTTAATCTGGCAAATGTTTTATTGCTTTTATTTATCTTATTTAAAAACCCAGAAATTTTTATTTTATTGATTCGATGTTTTTGTTTTAGTCTTTTTTGTCTAGTTCTGCTCTAATCTTTATTATTTCTTTTTTCTACTAATTTTGGGTTTTTTTCCTTTTTTAGTTTCTTAATGTGCATTATTAGATTTTTTTAAATCTTCTACTTTTTTTATTTAGGCATTTATTGCTCTAATTTCCCTCTTAGCACTGCTTTTTTGCTGTATTCCATAGGTTTTGGTACAATATGTTTCAGTTTTCATTTGTTTCAAGATATTTTCTATTTTCTCCTTAATTATTTTTTTTGTACTCAGTTTTCTCATTCAAGAGCATGTTGTTTAATTTTCATGTATTTGTTCAGTTTCTAAAGTTCCACTTGTTAATGATATCTATCTTTATTCCATTGTGGGCCAAGAAGATACTTAGTGTGAATTCAGGTTTTTTGGTTTTTTTTGAGTTGGAGTCTCACTCTGTTGCCCGGACTGGAGTGCAGTGTCTGCTCCCGGCCACCGCAGCCTCGACCTGCTGGGCTCTAGCGATCCTTCCACCTCAGCCTTCCGAGTAGCCGGAATTACAGGCATGCACTACCATGCCCGGCTGATTTTTGGATTTATTGTAGAGATGAGGTCTCGCTGCCTAGGTGGGTCTCAAACCCGCGGGCTCAGGCAATCCACTCACCTCAGCCTCCCAAAGGCACGGGATTACAGGCTGAGCCACCGAGCCCGGCTGAATTCAGTTTTTTAAAGTTTGTTGATACTTGTTTTGTGTCCTAACATATGGTCTATTTTGGAGAATGTTCCATGTGTTGATGAGAATATGTATTCTGTTGCTCTTGGATGAAAAATGTTCTGTAAATGGCTATTAGGTCCATCTGGCTTAATGTGCAGTTTAAATCCAGTGCTGCTTTGTTAATTTTCTGCTCAGATGATCTGTCTAATGCTGAAAGTGGGGTGTTGTAATTCACCAACTATTATTGTATTAGGGTTTGTCTCTACCTTTAGATCTAATAATATTTTCCCTATATATCTGTGTGCTCTAGTGTTGTGTGCATATATGTTTAGAATTGTTGTATCCTTGCCAAATTGATCTCTTTATTATTTTATAATGACCTTCTTGGTCTCTTTTTATTGTTTTTGACTTTTAAAGTCTGTTTTATATAATACAGTTACTTCTGCTTGCTTTTGATTCCTGTTGGTGGGAAATGTTTTTTCCATCCCTTACCTATCCGTTTCTATCTGTTACAGTCGAAATGGGTTTCTTGTGGGCAGCATATAGCTGAGTAACTTTTTAATACATTCTGGCAATCTGTATCTTTTTCATGGAAAATATAATTAGTTTACATTTAAGGTTATTATTGATTGGTGGACTTAATCCTCTCGTTTTGTTAATTGGTTCTTAGTAGTTTGTATAACCTTTGTTTCTTCTCATTGAGGTATGATAGTTTTCTGTAGTATAAGGTTAGATTCCTTTCTTTTCTTTGTTCCTTTCTTTCTGTCTTATTATTTAACATTATTTAACATTGTGGTTTGGTTTGTTGGTATGATTTTGAGGGAATATTTGTGGTTTTTCCTTCCTTGTTTATGTGTTTGCTCTGTCAGTGGTTTTTATATTTTCATGTGTTTTCACAATTGTAGTTATCATTGTTTTGCTTCCCCTCAAGCATTTCTTGTAGGGCTGGTCTAGTGGTGATGAGTTATCTCACCTTTTGCTTATCTGGAAAGATTTTATTTCTCCTTCATTTATGAAGGATAACTTTGCTGGGCATAGTATCTTTGGCTGACAGTTTTCTTTTAGCATTTATATCATCACATTCTCTCTTGGCCTTTAATGTTTATGCTGAGAAATCTGTTGTTCTGATGGGTGTTCCTTTATAGGTGTCTAGACACTTTTCTCTTGCTGTTTTTATCATTTTCTCTTTGTCTCTGACTTTTGATAGTATGACTGATGTTATGTGGACAAAAACTTTTTGCATTGTATCTATTTGGGGATTTTTGAGTCTCCTGTGTCTGGTTGTCTAAATTTCTTGCTAGACTTAGGAAGTTTTCATATATTGTTTAGTTCAATAGTTTTCTAACCCTCTGCTATTCTCTTCATCTTCTAGGATATTGAAAATTCGAATATTTGATCCTCAGTGGTGTCCTATATGTCATGAAGGCTTTGCTCATTCTTCTTTTTCTTTGTTTTTGTCTGACCGTGTTATTTTAAAAGACTTGTCTTCAAGTTCTAAGATTCTTTCTTCTGCTTGATCTAGTCTATTGTTGAAGCTTTTGAATGTATTTTATATCTAAATCAGTGAATTCTTCAGTTCCAGAATTTCTATTTGGTTCTTTTTGCATGGGTGATATCTATCTCTTTGGTGACGTTCTTCTTCATACCTGAATTGTTTTTTCTGATTTTTTTGCATTGTTTTTCAGTATTTTCTTATAGCTCGCTGACCTTGTTTAGTGTCAGATTTGTGAGCTCTTTTGCCCTTTTCATAAATTTCTTTTTGGTTGGGATCTGTTGCTGGAGAATTATTGTATTTCTTTGGAAGTATCATATTTTCTTGCTTTTTCATGTTTCCTTTGTTCTTAACATTGATACCTACACATCTAGTATACTAATCACTTCCAATTTTTTGCATTTGCTTTCTTGAATATGTATCTGTGGTATTGGGTGTGGAAGGCACTCTGGCTTTGATTCTCTATGTGTCTTCTACTGTAAACAATATCAATGATCTCTGTGATTTCCTTGTTGGCTTAGAGTATAGTTGTTAATGGAACCTTGGTGAAGTTTTGCTAGAGACTGGGACACCAAATGGGTCAGTCTTTGGGCTGTAGTAATGACAGCAGTCGGCTGCACATGCCTGTCCTTGGTCCCCAAGGTAGCACACACTGGCACCCATTTTAGTGGGTCCAGGATGGCCAGTTCCTGGGCATCTAAGTGGCTTGCTTGAGTGTGAGAAATGGCAGAAGTAGGTGGGTGGGTGAGTGGGTTCTTGAGCCCCTGGGCAGCATATGAGGGTGATGGCAGTAGCAGTAATGGGACAACCATCCAAGTGTTTTATCCTGGTGTTGGCTGTTGCTGCAATGGGCTAGGTGGGCCAGTCAGTCCCCAGATCTGCAGGTGGCGCATGCAGCTGGGTACCAGTTGTGGTGGCAACAGGTTGATTGGACCCAGAACCCAAGAGCAATGCTCAGGTGCCAATAGTGGTGGACTAGGCTAGACAATTCCCAAGTCCCTGGACAGTGTGCTTGGGTACTGGTGGGGGTAGAACCAGGCCAGGAGGACCTACCCTAGGCCTCCAGGTCTTGTGTGCTGGGTGCTGACTGGTAGGCAGGGGCGGGATGATCCCAGGCTACCAGCAGAATGCTCGTGTTGGGGCAGCAGCAACTGCACTACAGCCCTGCTACTGGGGAGGGTAGGATTGCTTTCAGTGGGACCAGCCATAGGTTAGTCACTGGAGGACACACACTTAACTTGTACCTCTACAGGCAAATGGAATTTGTCCTTCAGGGAGCATGAAAATGTTTGTTGCCCTCCTGTGGGGTGTGGCCGGGAAGGTCACTACTGCCTCAGCACAGTTGCTACCACTGTGAGTGGGTAATGTCAGTAGGACTCCAGGGATGTGGAGATGTGGGCCTATTGTGCTTCATGGCAGAATGCAGTCCAGTGGAGTCTGGGTTCTCAAAATTGCCTAGGTCTTGGGGGTTTGTGAGATCCAGTGTAGCTCTTTCTCTGAAGTAATGCCTTCAGTAATGGGCTCTACGCAAACTCCCTGTGTGACTTGGGGTCCATGAGGGTCGAGGAGCTCTCCTATATTTAGAATTATGAGTCCCCTGTGGGAATGTAGATTGCTGGGGACTCTCTGTCGTCTTACATTAGGAAGCCTCTGCAGACTCACAGGCAATCCATGCCACACAGGTTGCTTCGCTTCCTTTTCATTCCTTGATTTCAGTGCTTCCTATTACTTCTCTGTTGAATTCCAGTGTTTTCTTTTGTATGATCTATTTGAAGTATGATTACTATTTTGGTTTCTCTCTATTGAAGAGATAAGCACTTGATGCATCTAGTCTGTCATCTTGAAGTTTCTCCTGCTTCATGGAGTTGCATTTGTGTCAGTGATTTATGTGATTGTTTATGACTAGAAAGCCATCACTGCTCAGGTAGAAGAGAAGCGCAGGAAGAAACAACTGGAAGAAGAGCAAAGAAAGAAGGAAGAACAGGAAGAGGAGCATCGCTTAGCACGGGAACGTGAAGAGATGCAGAAACAGTATGAAGAAGACATACTCAAGCAAAAGCAAAAGGAAGTAGGTATTTGTATTTTAGCTGCAACATTTTAAAATAAAATGGATATATTTTTAATGGAAAAATAACCAGAAGTTGAACATTTCCATATATTTTGAAATTGTGACACTATGTATGCAAACATTAAACCTTTGCTTAAAGAAAGTTAGGAAAGTAAGAAAAAATATGATATTGTTTTGCTTTTTCTTTCTATTGAGGTCAAGACGAGTTGTTATAGCACAAAGCATGTTACCCATTTTTAATCTACTTATTAATTATCTATGCTTCAATTCTAAGAAATGATTATTGCATCAAATAATTATCCTAGAGCTATTCAGAGAAATGATTGGCCTTTATCCAAATCCTCTTGTGAACAGGAGCGTATATTTGCAAAAGAAAGAATGATTGTCTGGGAATGATAATACACTTTGTGACTGTGTTAGAAGTTTCCTTTGTGACAAATAATGACCTTTTTAAAAAGAGTAGGATATCTTGTTGGCTAGGGCAGATAAGATAGGTATGGTGGTGGTAAGTGCCATGTTTGAGATGACCTGACTTAAAGAGTAGAGCACAGAATCTGCATTTTGTCTTTTCCCACTTGTCAACCTTCACTACAAAATTGGCTGGTAAAAAGACACATGCTCTGGGTAACTCTTTCTTTGAGTTGAATAGGCTGGGCCAGTTATCCCACGGGATGAACATATACACAAGGAAGTCAATAAAGCACCATTTACTTGAACTACAAGAAATGGCCATAAACCGTGTAAGGTGTTTACCTTGCAAAATCCATTATTGAACACAATAGAATTATGATGGAATCAACCATCATAACTTTGAAAATTTTATTAGTATAAATTTGAAATGATTTTAAAAGTTCTTAAATTTGTGATTTAATATAGCTGGAGAAAAAGTTAAAATGTAAGCTTCAAATGGGCAGGAAGTTTGCCTTGCTTACTGTTTTATCCCTAGTATCTAGATCAGTGCCTGACACACAGTACAGGCTTAGAAGATATTTACCAAAAGAAAATAGTCAAGTCTGTATGAGTTTAAAAATTGTATTTGATGACTTTGCAAATGTCAATATTGACAGGAAATTATGACTCTAAAGACAAATGAGCTATTCCAGACAATGCAGCGTGCACAAGAGTTGGCACAGAGACTGAAACAAGAACAGAGAATCCGAGAATTGGCTCAAAAGGGACATGACACTTCTAGATTAATTAAAAATCTTGGCAGTAAGTGCTTAATCAATTTTATTTATAATATTTTGTAAAGATGATTTTAAATACTTACCTATTTTAAATATTTTAAATACATTTACTAAGTATTTTTAAAGGAATTTCAGACCTTAAAATAATGTATCTTCATAAATAGGAATGCTTAATTTATTTGAAAACGTGCCATAAAAGTAGAAATAGTTTTACATGTTACTTGCAGTAATTCTGTGACATAGGTAAAATGTGTACTTTTGATCCCATTTTTTGCAAAGAAAAGTTATTAAGTAATCTCCTTAAATATAGTAAGGGTCAACAATGGCAGGTAACTTTTTTTTTTTTTTGAGTTGGAGTCTCACTCTGTCACCCAGGCTGGAGTGCAGTGGCACGTTCGTGGCCACCCCGGTGTCGACCTGCTGGGCTCTGGAGATCCTTCAGCCTCAGCCTTCCAAGTAGCCAGAACTATAGGTGTGTGCTACCACGCCCAGCTAATTTTTTCTTTATTGTAGAGATGAGGTCTCGCCAATTTGCCCGGGCTGGTCTCAAGCCCACACAGGTAACTTTTTTTTTTTTAAGTTGGAGTCTCACTCTGTCACCCACACTGGAGTGCAGTGGCCGCTCCTGGCCACTGCAGCCTCGACCTTCTGGGCTCCAGCGATCCTTCCACCTCAGCCTTCCGAGTAGCTGGAACTACAGGCCTACCACGCCCGGCTAATTTTTTTAATTTTTATTGTAGAGATGAGGTCTCGCCAAGTTGCCCAGGTGGGTCTCGGACCCGCATGCTCAGGCAATCCACTCACCTCAGTCTCTCAAAGCGTGGGATTACAGGCTGAGCCACCGAGCCCAGCTGGTAACTTTTTAAAAATAAGATTTAGACTTGCTTATCCAGATTTTTATTGCACTGTTCATTCTGATTGAGTTAACTAATTATTATATTTTTAGTTCCTGCTGTACATAATTTCTATTGATATCATGTCATTTTATCAGATAATTTATTTCTCGTTGCCAGTTGATACACAAGTGGAATATAATGCATCCACTAAAAAGTACATTTCAAACTCCAGACATGACTCTGATGAAGTCAGTGGTAAAATGAATACATGTATCAATTCTACGACTTCTCCTAAGAAGGATACTGGTGTACAAACAGGTATTTGTGTAGAAATTATTATTCTATTTAAAGTTTACTTAAAATTAAAGTCACAAAGCAACTAGAATTAAATTCAATTTAAAGTTTAAAAATTAAATTTGAGGTTTTCAGTAAGAATGAGAAAATAAGTATAACAACTTTGCTGAGATACGTCATGTACCATAAAATGTACCCTTTTGAAAAAGCAAAGCGCATTGTTTTTTAGTAATTCAGAATTGTGTAGTCAGTCACCACTATCAATTTTAGAACCTTTGATTCACTCTAAAAAAAAACCCTTTACCCATTAGCAGTCACTTTCTATTTTCCCTTTCTCCACTAGTTCACTTCCTGTTTCTGAATATTTGCCTGTTTTGGACTTTTCATGCAATTGGAATCATGCCATTTGTGTCTGGCTTTTTTTTTTTTTTTTTTGAGTCAGCATCTCACTCTGTTACTCAGGCTAGAGTGTAGTGGTGCCATTATGGCTCACCATAGCCTTGACCTCCTGGGCTCAGGCGATCCTGCCTCCCCAGCCTCCCAAGTAGCTGGGACTACAGGCACGTGCTACACACACCTGGATAATGTTTTGACTTTTTTTGAGATGGTATCTCACTGTGTTGCCTGAGCAGTCCTCCCTCAGCCTCCCAGAATGCTGGGATTACAGGTGTAAGCCACTGCATTTGGCTGGTATCTGGCTTCTTTCACTTAGGATAAGACTTTAAGGTTTGTCCATGGTGTAGTATGTATCAGTACTACATTCTGTGTTAGATATTGTGCGACATTATGAGTGTGCTTGGCAACAATGACATGTACACTGAAGAATGGTTAAAATGGAGATATTGGAAAAATTGGAACCCTTGTACACTGTCAGTGTAAATGGGAGAGGGTGCATGAAGCTGCTCTGTAAAATAGTATAGCAGGTCTTCAAAAAATTAAAAATAGAATTAATCATATAATTCAGTAATTTTACTTTTGGAATTATGCTCCCCGAAAAAGTAAGGTCTCAAAGAGGTAGGTGGTCACCTGTGTCTGTAATAGCATTATTTACAGTAACCAAAAGGGGGAAGCCACTTATATCCATGGACAGATGGATAAACAAAATGTGTTATATACATGCAATGAAGTATTCAGCATGAAAAAGGAAGGAAATTTTGATACATTCCACATTATGGATGAACCTTGAGGACATTATGCTAGGTGGATAAGCCAGTCAGAAAGATACAAATGACTCTATTTATATTAGATAAGTAGAATAGTCAGTTCATGGAAGCAAAGTAGAATGATGGTTGCCAGTGGGTGGGGGAAATGGGTATTTGCTCATTAACTGGCATAGTTTCAGTTTTGAAAATCAAAAGGAAAAAATGTTTAGGTGGTAAATTTTGTTATATTTACCACAAATTAAAAAGAAAGTATTTGAAACTTTTTTTTAGATGACTTACATACAGGAATATTCACCAATGCAGAATCACACTGTGAATCATCAACAGAAGGGGAAATTCCAAATTATCCATCTCCCGAGATTTCGGCATATTCCAATGGACAATTGCACATTAAGAAAAACAAGCAAGAATTAAGTCAAGATAAAGGAGCCAACTTAGAAAACTGGTATAATGACCAGTGTAATCAGTTCACAAGAACAGAGAAACAAACAAAACACATGAAGAAATGTCCTAAAAGGCCTGATTGGAATATAAATAAGCCACTCAAAAGGTATATTCCAGCATCAGAAAAGTACCCTAAACAGCTTCAAAAGCAGAGAGAAGAAAAGAAAATAAGAAGGCAAATGGAACTGCTTCATTTGGTAGAAAGAAATAATCCTGAACACCTCTCTCAAAACAGAGGCACTTCACCAGAAGTTCTTCATTCATCTCAAGAAAATGAGTCAAAGTTCAGGTGGCATCCATTAAAAAAGGTGAAGCTTTTCTGTCATAAAAACATGTTTTTAAGCATATATTGAGGTTTGTAGATTCAAAACAGAATTCCCTACATACATGTTTTGATAAGGCTATTGTGTGTCTAAACAAGGATTAATAGAAATTTGCTTTCGTTTAAGTGTCAGCAAACTGCAGCCCATGGGCATAGCCACTCTGCTATTTTTGTAAATAAGGTTTTAGGGAAACATAGCCACATTTTTTTATGAATTGCTGTGGCTGGCTTCACACAACAGCAGAGTTGAGTAAGTAGCAACAGAGATGATATAGCCTGAGAATATTTTCTATTCTAGTCCTTCATAGAAAAAGTTTACATTTACACAACTTCAATAGAAGGATACTATTCTTTACTCAAATACCCATTGAAAACCCTTGTAGACTGAAGACAATTTGGGAGATTGGGAATTACTGGATTAGTATGACTCTGGAAAAATATAAAATCTCTGATTCATTGCCCAGTTATTTGTGGGAACATGTGGAAATACTCTATTTTTCATTCTAAATTTATCTATGTCTTTTAGGAAGAAGAGCCTCTGAAAATTCATTCAATCAGCAAGGAAAGGTATGTTATGTACCAGATTAATTCCATAGCTATTTAGTGTTTTCTCTGTGGGATAAAAGAGGTACAAAACATCTTCCAAAATTTAAGGGAGTTCAGGCACATATGTATATGAAGAGAATAATAGGAAAGGTTGTGGCTACCAGGTGAGGGATAGTGGATTTAGAGCTAGAGTGGCACTGTAGCTGGAGCTTAAAGGCGCAGATTGGACCAGGCCCAGGCAGGAATGTGGGTGACATTTTCATCTCCAGATTTAGCTAAGTGGTTTTGCCTTTCTAGGTATGTCAGCAGTGGAGTAGGCATTATGCTTTGATTGAGGAGGGAAGGAGGAAATGACTAATAAGGACAGTGATACTCAGGATCTAGTAACTTAATTTCCCCCTTGTACTAGAGTACACATATTTTAGCTAGTGCTACTAGTAGAAGAAACGACAAATTAATCTCATTTGGTTGTCCTGTTTTTTGAAAGTTATTCTAGAACTCAGACTTCTAGTCTAGTCTAGTCTAGTCTTCCCAAAGCTATTAGAGGTACATTCAGAATAAACTGAAATGTAATTAAAAAGATATTCTTGCCGAGCATGGTGGTTCATACCTGTAATCCCAGCACTTTGGTAGAGGTTGAGAGGATTGCCTGAGCCCAGGGGTTCAAGACCAGTCTGGGCAACTTGGCAAGACCTCGTCTCTACAATAAATCAAAAAATTAGCTGGGTGTGGTAGCGCATATCTGTAGTTCCAGCTACTTGGAAGGCTGAAGTAAAAGGATCGCCGGAGCCCAGCAGGTCGAGGCTGCGGTGGCCGTCACTGTGCCACTGCACTCCAGCCTGGGCAACAGAGTGAGACTTCAACTCAAAAAGAAAAAAAAGATATTCTTCATCTGACATTCATAATTTTGTATAAGCTTCTCAGTAATTTTTTTAACATAGGTCTCAACCATCACCAGTTCCAACATTGAAAAACAGAACCCAGCAAACTCAGAACACGTTACAGTCTTCACGAAAAAACAGTAGCTGTGGGAGACAAAATCTGAGCTCAGGAAGTAGTCAAACAGAATTATCACCTGGGATTTCTGAACCATCCCATTTTATTCCTTATGTCCGAACAAATGAGATCTATTACCTTGATCCAGATGCACCATTGTCTAGGCCTTCAACCCAAGATTCTCAGTATGAAAATTCACAAGGTATGTAATTATAAGTATTCTTACTGTAAAAATTTAAGCTGTGAACCCCCAACCCTAAATTCAACTTCCAAATTAGTAATTCCTGCCCTTAGTTCTAGAAAGTGTTGAACAAAGTTTACCCCTGGAGAGAGGGATGTATATGTATCTCTAGGATACATATTTATTAATACTGTGCACTCGGATGTCTCCTCTGAGGGGACATCACAAATCTAGCAAACCACTTGGATGTCCCCTTTCAGGGGACACAGACTGCTTGTGATGATACAGGAAAAACTTGTGCCAGTGTAGATTTTTCAAAAATGTATGTTTCCTTGAAGTTTTCCATTCAAATTGCACAAAAAAAAAATACTGAGATACACGTTTAAAAAAAGCCAGCTGGCGTTACATAGAAAGGAAATGTGTGAAATGCTTTTACAGCAGCACAGAAACTGGACAATAAATTACATATTATTAATGTTGGAGGAAGAAAATGAGACTGCACTGTCTGCTCAAATAGAAAAACACTTAGGTGGAAGACATGCACAACATGTCCGTGAGCCTGAAGTGCATGCTGGTGACTGTTTCACACATTACCACACATTAAAAGAAAGATTAAAAACTTTAATTTGGGGGGTGGTCATAAATAAGTTCCTTGATGTCCAAAATTCCATTATAAGCCAAATACCATTACAAGAGAAGAATTGGTTCCAATGCTATACTATTTACTATTAAGTGATTCATTTTTCATTATTTCACAAAAGTGCAGTCGAGTTGCTGGTAATGATGCAAGAGATGTCTCTGAGTACATATTAATATATTTGACTTGTCACTTTCATCTTGCTTCAGACTGTGACCAGGAACGGCAGCTATTTGATTCTGATCATGTCAGGGACCCACTTCTTAATCCTAACTTGGTGAAAAACAGGGATCGACAGCAAGCGATCCTTAAGGGACTTTCAGAACTGAGACAGGTATGAGTTTTTCCACCACATGTTCTTTACGTGTGTAGGGAAGCTAGGTGTTTTAACTGCATCTCAAGTTTTAAGAAAAAGTATTTCAGTTTCCTGTATGTCAATCCTGAATGGAAATAAAGGGGGACTTTCCTTGAATATTTCTTTCTAATATGAAATCATGAGATAGTTCTAAATTGTCTTAATATGACAATTTTATTGAGTAAAAAAATGCATACATTTGAACAGTAAAACATGATCAGTAAGGCCCTAAAACCAAAGACAAAAAAATACACAATTATACTTTAACAAATTCTTAGCAGTGTGGCTTATGTTTTCAAAAAGTCCTGTGGGCAGTGCTTAAAACAGAACATTGACATCCATCCCAAAGAATAATTCAGTATAAAGTTACACATATTACCTTACTCACCAGAGTACTTTTTCTCCCAGACCAGTTATTGTGACTTTGTTATTATCTTGCTCTCTTAAGTAACATCTGATATTTAAAGTTAACTTGGCTCTGTCAACTATAACTTATACCTCGAGCTTCAAAAAAATATAGCTTGCAAAATTGGTTCTGCAATTACTTTTGATTCACTATGTACTCTGCATTTGGGGAAAAATTGTGTTGTTGGAGTGCCCTTTTCCTATGTCTAGTCATGTGCTAACACATTCTATATACTTCACGGTGTTGGTTAAGATGTTGCTTTCTCTCTCTCTCTATACATCCCCACTTTGGCCTATTTGTTCATTTGAAGACAAACACAAGGTTACTAAGAAAGTGTCCTTTAGTTTTTAAATGCTAACACTGGTTACGTACAGCTTGAGCGTTTTACATGATTCAGTCTTGATCACTCACAAAGTAAAGATTTATATAGTTTTGTTTTGTCTCTTTTTATGAGTCAGAGTCTCACTCTGTCCCTCAGGCTGGAGTGCAGTGGCACGACGAATTCCTGGGCTCAGGTGATCCTTATGCCTCAGCCTCCCAAGTAGCTGGGACTGCAGGCACATGCACAACAGGCTTACGTTTTGATTTTTGTAGAGACGAGGTCTTGCTATGTTGCCCAGGCTGGTCTTGAATTCCTGGGCTCAAGTGATCTTCCTGCCTTGGCCTCCCAATAGTACTGGTGAGATTACAGGTATGAGCCACTGCTCCCAGCCAAATTTATCTTTAAAATGACAAGGTGTTTTTAGTTCTAGCTTGGTGGAGACAAAAGTTGTGAGGGCAAGAGAAAGATGATGTACACATTCACCCACTGATATAGTGCCCCCTCTTATTTAAGCAGGGTCCTTGTATTAGCCATTAGTACAATCAGGATAAAACACTTAATGTTAAGGGAAGACTCCTTCAGTGCCTTATCACCATTTTAAGAACATTTGGGGGTTTGGGGGGGTTCATCTTAGCCCCATGTTATGGAGACTTAATTTTAAGAAAAGCCATCCCTATTGGCTTTTATCCTAAAACTATTTTATAGCTATATTAGGTAGTACATCAATTAGGTACATCATACCCAAATGAGGAGGGCTAATTGCAAGAATTTCTGAAAATTTTTGAATGATAACAATCCACCACAAAATAGTAAAATGCATAATGTTTTCCAAGTAAATATAATTCTAGATGGACAGAAATGTAGGATGGGGATAATTTGCAAGTCAGTTGTACCCTTTACTAACATATCAATGTGATTTCAGGGCCTTCTCCAGAAGCAAAAGGAGTTGGAAACTAATCTCATGCCTTTAGCTGCAAATCAAGAAGAGAATTTTAGCGTGTTTTAAATGTAGAAAACCAAATGTTTCACATTTGATGTCTTCCAAATTATAAAATGTGCTTGTGGCTTAACTGTTTTATAAATAGCTTAGATTTATTTCTTAAAATGCTTATTAAAAATTTGTATGTAGTAAAATGTTGTACTTTTTTAATACAATAAAACAGATACTTTTGTAAAAGCTTAATAGTAAAAAAACAATTTTTTTCTGCTTTGTTACAATCTGGGTATCTAAGCCCTATAAAAACTTTCCACTTACCTTAATATATAGTCTGGAGTTCCTGACCTGTTAACAGTGTTCCTTTACACTTTCAATGTAACTTAATTATATACCATTCATGCATTTTGTTCTGCAAAAAGTCCTTTTGAGGTACCAAAGGCCTATCTAACATACTAATACACATAGACTCTGACTTTTACTAAAGTAACATAAATTCACTTTAGGCTCCTGTGGAAATTCTTTTCCTGCTCTGTTTATTGTACAAATTGCAGTTTTCAAAAACACAAGTTAGCATTAGTAATGGCGAGGCAGTTTAAACCCTTATCTACTGCTATCTCTACCATATAATTTCTAGCATAACACTAGGATATTTAATAAATGATCATTACTACTAATTAGGAACCACCTCAAATATATTTAAAAAACTAAAATTGTTCAGTGCCTTTGACTAAACAGAAGCCTATCATTTGAAATATGATAATGAATTTGGTTAAATCAAGGATCCACACAAACTCTAAAAATTGTAACATCTAATACTCTTAAAAAGTTACCAGAATTTTACTGACAAGCAGTTTTAAATGGCTAAGCTAAAAATAAAAAATAATGCTGCCATTTGATAGTTAAGTCCTGTTTGTATTGTTTATTATCTAAATGAAACTGTACAGTTAGATAAATCTTGAGGTACTGAGCCAAAATCCAGTAAATACTAACATCACTGGCTTATACCTATATAAAAACACTATAGAAAACCTTAAATATAATAGTTGATAATTTCAGTAAAAGTAGTTTAGTATCATCTGGCATTAGAGGGGAAAAAAGTAATAAAGCCATTTATGTGTGTGTGTGTGTTTTTAAGTTGGGAGTCTTACTCTGTCTCCCAGGCTGGAGTGTAATCGCACACTAACAGCCACCGCAGCCTCAACCTGCTGGGCTTAGGCAGTCCTTCTGCCTCAGCCTTCCAAGTAGCTGAAACTACAGGCACATAACACCACGCCCAGCTAATTTTTTGATCTATTGTAGAGACGAGGTCTTGCCAAGTTGCCCGGGCTAGTCTCGAATCCCTGGGCCCAGGCAATCCTCTCACCTCTGCCTCCCAAAGTGCTGGGATTCCAGGCGTGAGCCACTGTGCCTGGCTTAAAGCCATTGCTATTTACCATCCTTCTGCAAACACCTGATTTTACACATAAAGCAAGCTCCAATTTGAAGCCCTAGTACAGGTGACATACAAATGAAAAACTTAAAAGTGCCAACATGAGATAATTCAAGTACAATATATGTTAAAAATATATATATTTATTTCAATTTTTAGATGCTTTCAACTGTTACAGGCCATCATGATTTTTAAATAAAAGAAAAACATTTCAGAAAAACAACCTTTTGTTTAGAGAATGAAATATAAGTTGTTAGTCACTTTTAAGAAACAGAAAAAGTCCACAATAACCTATTTAAAAAAAGCTATTATAATTTATTTGTCTTTTGGATGTGGCCTGGAAGAATCACTTTTTTCCCAGCTTAATGGAGGTGGAGATCTACCTCTATCAAAGCTTTGAGTATAGGCAGATAAAAAGTAGTTTTCATTTTCTTGAGACTGACTTGATGAAAGGGCATATGGTGTCCTCAAAAATGTCTGATGAGTGAGAACATTAAAATGACTAAACTGATGGGACATATTTAATTGACTATGATAAACCTGAAAGTTGCTATATGAATCTTGTTCTGCTGAATTGCTGTTCTCTCCTTCAGAGCACACTATATCAATAGAAGCTCTCTCTTCACAATCAATTTGGTAAGTCTTATCTTCTAATAAACTGTTTTGCACGTCAAGAGACGATTGCAACTCAATTTGAATATTCTTTTTTTGATCTGTTCCACGTGATCCTTTGGTCTCTTTCGTCAATATTTCTGAATGAAAATTGCTGCACACTTCTATTTTTGAGATTTCATCCCCTGAATCCAGAGACATATCCTCTTCATCCTTTTCATCGTTTTCTAAAAGAGCTACATTTAAAAAACAAAAAGTCCTCCTCTATTGAAATACACAATTTGTTTAAGTTTTAAAATTATACACTACTCACACAATATAATGCGTCAGGGTCTGCAAGTCCACAATCCCTTAAAGCTTGGTCTTCTGCCACAAGTTCACTTAGTCACAACACTCACACTAGATGTGAATGTCCAGATAATCCGATGCTAAAAGCTTCTGCGAAATGTGTTCACGTTTAATGTTGGGAAATCCCAACTCCCAGCTCCAAAGGGGTTAATGTCAAAACAGCATCTAAAGTTATACGGTAATTCAGTATTTGACAAGACAAATATAAAATAAAATTTTTGACATCTAACTTCAACTGGATTACTAAACTGGTTAGTGCTATTGAATGTTCGATCATCTCTGCTTTTCATCAAAACAAAAATAAGTACATCTTTATTTTACATAAAACCTGGAACCAAAGCAGAGGCCATCTGACAAAAGACTAAAAGCTGTGATAGTTCTATCTTGCAATTAAATTACTTCATACATTTGGGGAGATTTAGTAGCTCAATGCTAAATCCCCATATCTGGTTTCCTAATTTTAATGTAACCCCTTTGCTGACAATAGCAGCCAATACTTCTTATGTACCCGCAAAGAGGAAAATGCGTAGATACACTGTCTACAGTATAGACAGAAATGCATAGTCTATAGTGACTCTAAAAACTTGTATTGATGACAGTATTATAAATGAGATCTTGTGCACACTAAGTATCAGAATGATAAACGTCTTTGAAATACTTTCCCTATGGCTGTTTACACTGGGGTGAGTGGTTTCAAAATAATCATTTCATTATTTGAAAACAGCAAAACCATTCCTCTTTTTCTGTCTGCCTTAAAGAAAATAAAAACTACTGAAAAGTTACCTGACTGCGACTCAATATTCTCATTAGCACCAAGCAGTGGAAGGTTTTCTTCTGTGATTGAGTTGTGATAGCCCACAAGATTTTTAAAGTTTTGCATAAAGTCTTCAGCAGTTGCAACCACTATTCCATTATCTGAATAACTGGAAAGCATCTTGATATTCTTCTCTAAATTAAAAAAAAAGTTTCATATGTAAAACACTTGAAAATATACATAGACAAATGGTGATGCCTGCTCCTGGTCCTCAAAAGGTCCTTGGTTCCACATTTTCAGAATCAATAGCTTAACATTCACAATCGGCAAATTTTTCACTTTGCTAATACTACGAGCAGGTAAAAATAAAATCTAAAGCTGGGTGCCGCAAACTTCTGTCATTAAGCACAAGTGAAATGGCCTTTTCTAAATTGTCACCTTTTCACAATACAGCTGAAAGTTCTAGACATATCCAGTATTTGCCTCAGACACCATGCTGACTAGCATTCCATATCTTATATTTTTAATTTTTATTTTGATCATAAACCAAATAAACATACATATACATTATATATATATATATGTGTGTGTGTCTTCATTTACATCGCATCATTATATCACTATCTGGCTCACTATAATAAGTTCACCGGATTCACCTTCAACCTCAGAAATCTCACCAGCATATATTTCTTCATTTTCCATAATTATTGTAAATTATTCTTAACGTTGAAGTGTGAAAGCCCTGAAATATTAAAATACAAGTATACAACACTAATCACAACAAAATAATGACCAACTTGCCATTTTTACCAACTACATAAATCAATAACATTGCACAGTCGGTATCAGATAATTATCTCAATCAACTTTCTCCTTGCCTCACTTCATTTTCAAGCAGAATATAACCCGCAAAATCCTTTCATCATCATTCCCATGTTCATAGTAGAAAGTTTAACAGTGCTTGCTCTTTACCTGTTAGAAAGACTATGTGTCGTTGCTGTATGTTCTGAGCCTGAAGTCTGACAAGGCAATCCAATTCTGGAGCATTTCGAGTTTGTGAATCACAATTGTGGTATGACAAAATTTCAACCAGATGTTTCTTCTGATAGACATTCAGAAGTGTCAACAGACTTAGAGCTTTAGTATTCAATCTGTGAAATTAAGCAGGTCAGTATCTGGATCTGCACTTCTAAATTTTAGTATGGAAATCCCTGCTTCAGATTAAAACTCTAATTTTTAAATTGAGAAACTAATGATAACTGCACTGCTTTAGCTCACTGCCTGATTTAGGAGTGCATTTATTTAGAGACAGGGAGAGCAAGAACTGTGTGACGCATATATAAATCCAAGGGTTTCCTGATGCAAAGCCTGAACAGCCAGCTTAGGCTAAAATCTCAACCAATTATTCTACTTACTAAAGTACAAAAATTATTTTTAGCTTTACTAATGTTGAACTTGAAGGAATTAAAAAGGCAGGTATCAGTCGTTCATGCCTGTAGTCCCAGCAATTTGGGAGGCTGAGGCGAGAGGATCACCTGAGCCCAGGGGTTCGAGACCAGCCTGGGCAACTTGGTGAGACCTCATCTCTACAATAAATCAAAAAATTAGCTGGCTATGGTGGCACGTGCCTGAAGTTCCAGTGTCTTGGAAGGCTGAGGCAGAAGGATCACCTGAGCCCAGCAGATCAAAGCTGCGGTGGCCATAAGTAGTGTACTACTGCACTCCAGCCTGTGCAACAGCGTGAGACTCCAAGAAAAAAAAAAAGGAAAAGTATAGATCCTTCAAAAATAGCATAATCATAAATAGCTTTAAGTTAGATCACAAGGCAACAAGTGGTAGAACAGTGCTCATGAGGAAGATAAGGGTACTAATTACTCTGGACAAGTTATATCTTTGGGTCTCAGTATTCTCTGTGATATAAAGATAAGACTTGCCCTATGCCTACTTCACGGGCTTTGAAGATAAACAAGTTTTTAAAAGTGAGTTGCTACAAAAAATTAAACACTTTAAAATTATTTAAGCCTGAATTTTCTGAAGAATGTACCATGGAATGTCCTATAACAAGAAATAAAAGTTTTGTGGTCTAAATTTAGGAAATGCTGATAGACACAATG